GGATGGATGGATGGATGGATGGATGGATGGATGGAAGGATGAAAGGATGGATGGATGAATGGGATCATAGTTGGATGGATGGATGGATGGATGAAAGGATGGATGGATGGAACAGCAGCTACACATCTTTATTAAACAGTTGATTTAATCTTGTAATAACTCTTCCCTGCCAGCTGGTGGCTTCAAAATCGATTCTTTTAATACACTGACTTTTTTTACTCCAGCCCTTTAGGTGGCAGTAATATGCTTAAACTGGTTATCTCCCTCACAGACGAGAAGACAGAGCTGCAGCTGGCACACAGATCAATGCAGAGATCTACATGTTCCATGCAGCATTAAAGTCCAGGGACAATATTGTGGAAAAAAGAGCATTAAAGGAAATGATCAACTTTGTAACCCTGGAGCTAAATGTGTATATATGCTGGTTGATGCAGAGGAAAATTGAAATAAAATCAGAATCGCTATTTGGGTAGAAAATCACCACTTAGATTATTACCAAAATCGTACAGCCTGTTTTACTTTTTTCGAGCAAAGATGCTTTACACAGGAATTTTCTGTATTTTCATCTCAGCAAAAGCACTAAAAATATATTTTAACCAGAAAATTTGATCACCTTGAAACCCAAGTTATGCTTGCTTATTAGCAGTGCACCTGAAACCACACAGCACAGATGGAAAACATACTCATCTGCAGGTATGCATGCAGATGAGCAGGTGTATATCACCTATAGCAATATAGTTAGGTCCAGATATCATAAGAGCGAGTTTCCACAAAAAGAAAACCTAGAAACCAATACCTCCAGTAGGAAATGTACCTATGTATGTTGGAACACAGCTCTGTGAAGCAGGAAAAAGACTAATACAAAGTGAGTCCAGTACAGTAGAACTTTTTATTGCCTATCTGGAATGGGTGACAATAGTTCAATAAACTTTTGGCTCTCAAAATGGTACCGATGCCCTATTTGTTGGTACTCTACGATACCGATACCACCATTTTATTGCTGGATCGAGGTCCCGCCCGATACTGGTATTGGTATCGGTGCAACACTATTTACTGCATTTTGTCTGACCTCCATAAGGGATAAGCTTGGTTACAAACCACACAAGTCTGGAGCATTTTTTAATAAAAGGTGTTTGTTCATCATTCAGAATTAAAAGTAATGTGTACAGTCTAGTAAAACTATCCTAGAAGTACTTTTTGTTCATAAAGTATTGAACTAACATCAACAGGATGTATTAATAATATAAAATCATACAGTATAGAGTGAGGCAGCTTTTATTTAGCTACCAGGGTGACATTTGGAAATGTGCACAACATTTTAAAAGCATAACTGGAAATACTTGAAATACAGGTTTGTTTTTTTTCAACCTCGAATCCAAAAAAAAGAGTATTTTAGTAGACAAAAAAAAATAAAAAATTTCTGGCCTTTATGAAGCTGCTTTTTAAGTGACTGCTTTTTAGCTCCTGCAGCAGATGGTGAGGTCAGTGAAAAATGTTGGCTTGTTATAAAGCAGATCCCAGAGAGTTTGTGGAGAATTTAACAAGCATTGCTTCCCCACCGAGAACAACTTTATCAGCAATTCTCAGTGGTGTGCAGAATAGGGCTGTGGTACCTTGATAAATATCAAAACAGAAAAGATTTTTTTTTTTTTACTTGCTCTTTAGGATGCATATACTGGTGTCTGCAGCAGAAGTCACTCTAGATATACTAAGTGCTGCTTTTGATATGCAGACAACGCTGCACGTCTGTCATTCCCATTCACCACTAACTTATAAACAGATATAACATCAACAGATTTAATTCTGTGACAGGAGCAAATCTTTTGGCAGGCAGTAAGAGCAGAATACAGAGGGACTGATGAGGCTGACAGCTTGTATTTTCACTGAGTCACTCTTAATTATCTGTCTGTTCAGGTTAAACATATTTCGAATCTCAAAGTACACACGCAGACATCCTGGAGAACAGGAGAGCTCGTTGTTGCTTTAAGATTTTTCCTGGCTCTGTATCATACCTTAACCTTGGAGGGGAGTGAATGTCAGCCTGTTAGTGTGTGACTGTGTGAGTACTCACAGCCAGCAGGCGGTTCTTGTCTTTCTCGGCATTGGTTAGTGTGTTTTCCAAGGTCAATCTGTGCTTCTTGGCCACTTCCTCTAAAGCTCGAGCCTGGCCTTCCTTCATCTGGCTGGCCTCCTCCTCATAGTGAGCTCGCACACTGCTCATGTCCTTCTCGTGGGACATCTTCTCCTCCTGGAGGGTCTGCAAACACAAACAGGCACCGTAAACAGATTGAAAATGTGCTCAGAGGTGAGCTTTGTGTTGCAGACTGAGACCAAGGCCGTGTGTTGTATCACCCAGACATATTGATTTTGTTCAATGAACAAAATACACTTTATATTCTGTCTGGATTAAACAGTTTGCATCTCCACTTTTCACCTGATTCATAGGTGAAGATGTCCAAGCTCTGAGTCACAGACAGACCCTGGGTCGCTGGTCAAAATCCAATCCAATTTAACAACCCTGTTCAGGCCAAGACCATAATCCTGATAGCTGCATAATTAACATGTTTTTTTCCCTTACAGTTCAGTTTAAAACAAAGGGGCTGAATTACAATAGGTTTGCATCTATTAATACTTGTGCAGTCTTGTTAGCATGTGCAAATCTGATCTTCATACAAGGTGCAAAGAATTCTGCCAGTGCAAAATCATCAGAACAGCGGGTGTAACTTTTTTGTGTGAGTTTTGTATGAATATGTACATCATATTCTAATGACGACAGAGCAAATCTATTGGTGGAGAAAATGAATATCGTGATACTTATCAACCATAAAGCCATTTATTACACCTAAAACTGATTACAGCTGCAGTTTTTGGGTCTATATTGTATATGTTTATAAGTCAGGTGCAAACTGACAGGCAAAGATTTTTATTGTTATTGTGGCCACACAGGAGGAATTTACGGAAGAGGGCCACTGAAAAAAAAAAAAATTAAGTTATTTTTTTTTTTTTTCAGTTTAATATGGGAAAAAAGTCAGAATTCTGACTTT